GGGGGGGCAGTTAAAAAAAGCAGGTAACAATGGGCAGCGGCGTAAATGTACCACAGATGACTAGAGATAGTGGTAGAAGTGAGTATATGGCTTACCATCGTTTCCAGAGCCTGATCCCGCATCTGGAAGAGAGATGGGAAAGGTCATTAGTGTGGGGTGGGGGTTGGGGGGGGGTGCTTTGCAGAGGTGGTAGGTTAAGCTCCATAAAGTACAAATCCTGACCAGGATTTTGTTTCAACCAAGCAGCTGAGTAACCTGTGACTGTCACTCTATGTTCAACTGGCTGGTTGAAACAAAATCTTGGTCTGGATTTCTATTTTATGCACCTCAACTTTCCACCTCTGCTGCTTTGAGGTTGTGGGATAGCATTAGAGCACGAAGGAAGGTATTGCGGATACGATACAGAGATGCAGCAAAACACTGCGAACACTGCGCTCGACAGGTGGCAGGTGGGTGACAGGTGCCAAAGATGGTGTACGAGCTCCTGGCTCGGAGAGAACAAGCTCGCCTACGTGACGGGGAAGGCCGCGATCTGGAAATGCGCGTACAGCTGCTAACCAGGCCAGCCGGCCGGTGCGGCTTGCCGGAAAAGCCTGGTGTTTGGCTGATGCAGGAAGCGTGTGAAATACTGTTCCGGTTACAAACGATGAGGTGTTCATGACATGCAAGGTGTTCATCTCACAACACGTCCACCGATGCCAAAGGAAGATTCAATTTGACTCCAGTTTTGTGAATTTATTTACACGATGCGCATTTTTGACAGCTTTGAGGCTGTGTCTAGCTCAGTCATTCCATAAACTGCCGCATTGTGTGGATCCATCAGTCTAAAAACGCTTTAAACAAAACCCCCATTTGTAAAATCAGTCATCTAAATAATATCCACCCGCTTTGATCTGCCGCCACACGCCGGAATGTGTCTGCAGATCATAGCTGTGTGGCTATGTGGGGGAGCGATGATCAGCTGCATGACTACAGGTCATGGGACACAGACTGCGTGGCAAGACAAAGATGCTTACTGGATCCATGCGTACCCGTTACCACACCTCGACAAAAGTCGCACAGAAGTTTTCGCAGTTCGACGTGGTCGCTGATGATGCTGGTGGTGCAATAATTAAGGCAAATTGCAAAAGGGGGGGCATTTAATCAGCCTTATTTATTTGTGTATTTAAAATCTAAATATTGTTCAAATATTAACATTTTACTAAAAGCCTCACATACTCTGTGTGTAAAGACACATCTTTGTTATGACCTAAGTTGTCCCTCAAGGCAGCAATCAGGGTCATTCTCTCTATTATCCCCTTTATAAAGTGGTGGTGTGCAACTCAGCGGGTCACAAATCACTGTCCTTGTGCAGCAGTTTATGGGTTCAAATCCCATGGCCAGCAGACTATTCATATCACCGTTAGGCCCTCCAGCAAAGCCCTTAACCATAACTGTTCCGGAGATACTGCCTGATAGTGTTTCTCATCCTCATGTCTTTGTTGCTCTGGACAACAGAATTATCTAAACAAATAAACAATATATTTTTACACCCCAATCATCCATCATTCCCCCTAAACTGCAATCTTCCATTACCTTGATTACCAGAAAACAACTGGCATTTTCTTAGGTAGTATTTTCTTAGCTAGTTTTGAAACCGACTTCCAAGAAATGTCTCCCGGATTTGCTTTGTCGGAGAGCGGAGCAGAGGGTTAATGACTCTGATTATCATAGCTACACCATGAAGAATGGGACGTTCTCCAAGCAGTCTATTTAGAAACACGGCCACTGCTAGGTTTGCCACCAACACCGTTAAACTCAGGTGGATGCTAAGTTCACCGTACAAACTCGATTTGTTTGCCCCCCCAATAGTAATGCTAATGTGCTTCATATTTTCCTCTTAAGAAATACACGACAAGCCACAAATAGATTCTGGGCACATACATTTGCTCTGAATTAGACATCTTATTTTAAACTTTCTTTTTTTTGCAAAGGAATATTTTTGGAATAAGATCAAATCCAAGAATGTTTCTTAATGATATAGTGATACACATCAACTTAGTGTGGCATAGAGATTACATCATCAATCATGTGGTCCTGCAAGGCATTCTGGGAAACAGAATGCCTTGCAGGTGGAAGCGTACATTAACGTTATCCTCTGTAAGTTCCACCATTACTTAAATGAGACCTAACAAATGCAGGGAAATACATGCATATTAAATCTCTCCATTGCTACATTGTGCTTCCAGAAACACCCCAGAAATCCAGATTTGCTTCCTAAGCTTTGGAAAAGCAGGAACTGTACTGACTTTCCATCCATCCTGGAGAGGGTCACGAGCAGGTCCCGGAGCTTATTAAAGGACACTCATTCAGATATATATTTGTCCGTTACTGATAGAGTTTGCTCAGCAGTATTAGCCCACCCCCGTGGGCTACCAGAGTTAGCCTGGCTGAGCTTTTAGCCTCCCCCAGTGTGAACATTGGAGTCCCAGTGGGAGAGTCGGCTCCGTCTGACGGCTAAGCTGGCCGCCCCCCAAAGCATTACTCACGTGCAGGAAACAGCAAAGCGATACGTTCCTGAGCGGCACGTTTCAGCCAAAGTGCATCTCCATAATGCCTTGTTTGGCATTTAAACTCCCGACCCCCAGGTCACGACCCCCCTGGATCTACACCCCAGTCATCAGCCTGGTGACATCATCTGATTGGCGTGACTTATTATGATGAGAGATTTCATTCAGCAGCCTGCATTGCTGGAGTTTGAGTTGCTCAGATCAATTTCTAAACCAATTACACTCAATCTGGCTCCTAATCGAGAATTTAATTCAGGAATGTCCTGGACTGATTGCCTTTGGCTGAGTTTAATATAACTCATCATTAGAGGCTGGGCCTGCACCTCCTGCTCTTATGGGTGAGTGGTTTCAGGGATTGCTCGTCCTTTATTTCGAAGAGATCAGTTGGAGTTCAGTAAGTCAGAGTTACATCAGTAAATCACTCTGTCCTCGTTTCCTCTTTGGGACATCGGGGCACCTTGAGGAGTCAGGAGGACACGCCCATGAGCCTCTGCGATTGGTCACTGCTGCCTTGGCTTTAAACCAATCAGTGAGGCCATCTGCCTTTGGAAATCCTCAGCCCCACCCACCACACCTGTGAAAACAGCTGTCAGACATATGCGTGCGAAAAGACAGATCTGCCCCATGTCCAAGCTGACGCTTCACACCATCGGGTGTCATGCACCGTGTCATCTGGTGACAGGGCTGCAGAGACACGTGTCTGCCGGATAGCTCACAGGATGGACGGATGCCTCCCCCCAGCTCCGCCGTGTGGCCGGTCCCCGTATCGCGCTCCCCACATCTTTGGCCCCGTTTTAGTTCGCATTTTTCAAAGGGCCTTGGCCGAAACAGGCTGCAGGGACTGAGATAAGTTTCTAACTGCTTCATTAGTTCAAACTCAAGCAGGTCCCAGCAAGCAGGTTTCTGGACGGCAAGATTACATTAATCATCTGAACAACCTCTTAGAATTCCGGAGATGGTCTGTCCAGCATAGATGTGGGAAAAACAGAGTTGCCTTCTGTAATTTTGGCCATATATGCATTTTCAAAACTGTCTCTAGACCTGCTTGCATTACAGGATTAATTATTTTATTTTCACAGATTAATTAGTGTCTCCCTATTTGCAAAGGGTGGTATTTCTGATTCAATTATCATGGTCTTCTGTATGAACAGTAAAATCTAGTTAAAAAAATGTATTTAGACAACTAACAAACAACATTCAGCTGTGATGTTAATAGGCTGCATAACTGTGTACATTATAAAACTGCCAGCACTATTTCTAAATATGACGCAACTCCAGTGGATATATGAATGGGTAAATGATGTATTACCAAGGCTAGCATTGTCTATTTTGGTTAAGCTGCTGGGGTAATGTATTCGTAACACAGAATCTGTAATAGTTCCTCTCTTGGCTTTGCAAGTCGGCCTTAACCGGTATATAACCTGTAATGGTATTTTCTGAGGCACTGGAACATGACAGTGATTTGTGACTCCGGAAACCACTTAGCATTCTGCTACGTGCTCTTACAGTCTCGCTAATAGCCACGAGGAAATTAGACATTATGTAACAGAAAGAGAAATCTTCTAAACAAACTGAAATCATTTACCATGTGAAACTGGTGATGGGATGGATATTTCTGTTCATTTTTACTTGCATGTGAGCTGCTTTAAAAACATGTCCGAAGAAATAATCCTGAACTTAAGTTTGAGAAACTTGGCTCTAGGATGGGGCCACGTGACATCTGGAAGAGAGACCTACATTACGGGGGGGTATTATTTCATTAGAGGTACTTCCTTTTTGGGCTGGGCTGATGCTGGGCGTGGGGGGTAACCTACACAATTTTTTTTTTTTTTTAAAGTCATTAAAAATAAACCAACATGTTGTTTTCAGCAGTGTAAGGAAACCTAACCAGGTAGTTGGAATCACGTCGATTTTGGACCAGCGTGTCTCCCCAGGACCGTGTTCATTGGCTGTGACCCACAATCAGGGATCTGGCAGGAATGATGTCATGGGAACCTGAGCAACCCCTTCCTTTCTCTCCTGGAATGGGCCGTAGTCTCGTTATGACATCATGAGTCCAAAACGAGCTGCGCTACCAGGTATGATGGCTAAAAACAACGAACACAAGAAACCACCCCCCCCACCCCCCTCCCGGTCAAGGAAGGATTAAACAGAAATTCTTATATACAGGCCACACAACCTTGGGAGTAAAGACAGTGAAAAACACTATGACTGTGTCAGTTGCACATGTTGTTTATAAAAGTTCTGGCTGGACAAATGACACGAAGCAGGAGCAGCCGGCATGTTTTCGGGTGGCATTCGCTGTGGATGGGGTCCCGTCAGACACGTCCTGCCTCGGAGCTTTTCCTCCCAGTTGGGGAGGGAACCACCTGATTCCACTAAGGGCCTTTATTGAATCCATTTAACTCCCTTTCGGAGCTCTTAGAGGCATAATGAGAGCTGGAGAACTCCGAACTTGGTTCTGCAGGGCCGTAATTGAATAGGCCCACTGGTAGGTCTCTCATTCAAGTACTAAATTTAAAGCCAAGATTCAACCGTGGAGACCAGGGAAGAAACCGGTTATTAAACACACC